TGCAGGTCTGATTAATTTCACTTATGATTATGGTCTCTAGTTGTGTCCATTTACTTGTAAAAGCCTCGAGTTTATCCTTCTTTATAGATTGGTAATATTCCATTATATAAAAATACCACAACTTTTTTTATTCATTCCTCAGTTGCATGGTTATTTTAAAAATATTGTTTAAAATTTAAAATTTAAAAGGGATGGACTAAATCCCTTTTAACTTTATTTTTTAAAAGATAATAAAAAACAATAAAGCAATACAGAATTTCAAAGCAAGATGATAGGAAATTAACAATGGTTAATATATTGCATATTATTATCTTCACAGTAGTTTCTCAGATTACCAGATATAGGCATGTAAGATTGACCAAACAATATAAACACTATTTCTTTCAATGAAGTAATAGAAATTAGTAGTACAATTATCTTAGCTATCATATATACATATATATATTTATATTTATATTCCTTCCTTCTTTACTTTTTTCCCCCATTCCAGTTGTTCTTTCCTTTTAAACAGTTTCTTTTCCTTTCACAATATCTATTATATTTTTGTATCTTATTTACTCTTTCAGTTTCTCACAGTAGGGAGACAATACAATATTCACACATGCAAGTATGATTTATTTCACTTATGAGTATGATAGTCTATATATCTTGCTATTGGCTTAAATGTACTAAATGATAGAAGGAAATTCAGTATTTTAGAAATGTGAAAAAAAGAGAAGGAAAAGTAGACTTAGCAACAGCAAAGATAATGATAAAATAATCCAAATGATGTGTAGTCCTTAAGCCTCTGACATGAGCTAGGTACTATATTTTATGTGCATTGATTTTTAATTCTCAAGAAAAATCCCATAAAGATATATGCTGTATTTTTATGTACCTATTTTAATCAAGAAAACTTACATTTGGCAAAGTACTGTGTACTTTTCAAGGTCACACAGGCAATGCGGAAGGTGGGATTCTATTCAAACTCTCATACCATTCCCCAAAGAGTTAAAGACATCATATTCTAGTGATACATGCATTGCCATGTTTATAGCAGCACAATTCACAGTAGCTAAATCTTGAAAGCAGCCTATATGTCCATCAAGAGAGGGATGGATAAAGGAAATGTGGTATTTATACATGATGGAATACTTCTCTACAACAAAGAAGGATAAACTTGAGGTATTTGTAGGAAAATGAATGCACCTTGAAATCATAATGTTAAGTGAAATAAATCAGATACATAAGCCTAAATATCATGTGGTTTCTCGCCTATGAGAAATCCAAAATACAAAGAGATAAATAAAAGAGGGAAAAATATAAATAAGGAGGTAGGTCTCTTTCAAATGGAAATAGGTTAAAAAATAAAAGGAAGGCTAGGGAAGTAGGAAAAAGGGGTGAAAAAGAATTGAGATGTCTTACATACAAGTACCAGCTTTCTACAAGAAATGTAATCATTATATACTTAAAAATGCACTAATACAAAATTAAAAGTAGGAAAACATAATCATTTAGTTAATCTATCCTAGAAAGGAAAAAAAAAGTAAAATAAAGGCAGTATCTACAAAAACAGTGTAAGAAAATGCCTAACTATGAAATGACAATAATTAGATGTGAATCTATACAAAGAATTAACAAAATCAGAAAAAAATTAAAATCTTGATTATTTTTACAACTCTGAGGAATGATATTTATAAAGAGCTTTAACCAGATAACTAGTGTGGATAGCAATGATATAAAGCTTAATAATGTGTCAGAGTCTTGATTAAATGTAATTTTTACTATTTCTTTTCTTTTCTTTTCTTTTTGAGACAGGGTCTTGCTATGTAATGCAGGCTGGCCTTGAACTTAGTTATGTAGCACAGGCTGGCCTCGAACTCATGGTGATCCTCCTGCCTCACTCTCAAATGCTGGGATTACCAGCATGCGCCACCACACCCAGGTTTCATAACCCTTTAATCAAATAGGATAGATTAGTCTTTCCACCAACACGCGGAATTTTCTTGAAAGGGCTTTCGTGAAAGCATCCTTACTATAGTCCACAGAAAACCTTGGCTAAGTTTGCACTTAATGAATTTCTGGTTTCTAAAGTCCCTAATTCCCACTCTTGCCATAGACACACTTTTCTCCTCAGTGCCCCAATCCAATTTAGTTTCTATTCTGATCCTGCAGCCTAAAATAGATGGCAGAGGAAGCATTAAAGTGGTAAATAGAGGAATTCAGTGAAAAAGGAATAAAGAAAATGGTAACAAGGAGATCCTCTCAGAACAAGATTGCAAAGAAAAAAAATAATAAGATTGAGCAGAGAGAATGCAGCAGTTGTTTTTAAAAGTAGGAAATAGTTTTGAAAAAACAGATTAAAACATACTATGCAACCAGGGGATAATTTAAGGCTCTGTAGCAAAAGACACAGGGACCCGTAGATACAAGTACCAGAAAAAATGGGCTAGTGGAGTAAAATGAGAGGACAGTTGCCTTGATATTTCTCTTAGTGAAAAGGCAAAGAGATGATACAAACTCTGCAAAAGAAAAGCATGTGGTGTCAAGCCGGAAGCACCAGACAAAGTCTAGTGAATTCCCCAAAATTGAGGAGAACATGAGAGTAAGTGGGAAAAAAATTCTTTTTCAGTTCTGCAAAAACCGATGTCAATAGCCAGTGTATAGAGTCTTCTTGATATTTATAAACAAAGATGTTAGTAATCGTAAAACTAAGCATGCTACCCAAGTAAAGACCATTGCTTATTTTAGCCCAGCAGTTGCTCTCAAGGAACACTGAGATCCCAACATCTGACCCCATTCATATTGTCTGGAATTTTGGTCACTGCAAGAGATTCTCAGGTACGACGTGAGGTGGACAGAAAAATAAAGTGTCTAAAAATGTTGATGCTAGAAATAATCTAAAATAGCGATTCCAAAGTCTCTGTTCAAAGTATTCTTTTCATCCATATGTTCTAAATTATTGTATTTGTTTATACACGCAACTATTGGTGTACATGGAAGACATGCAGTTCTTAATAATTGGAATCTAGAAAGCAACGCAGGTATATGCTTAGAATAAAGACCACTATTAGGTGGATGTTGTAACAACCATGTCAAGCAAAGAAGTTTATTGTGTAAGAAATTAAGGAGATACTCTATTCTGTTTTTTTTCAACTCTTCATCCTCTTTCCTCTCCCCTTCTTCACCAAATGTTTGAAATCAGTTTCATAATAGCTTCTTGTCTCTTTCCAAAGTGAAACTATTTGAAAACGTGGTTTGGGGAATTTTTAGAAAATAAAATATGTATATTTACATAAAGTGACAACTTGGGGACCATCCTTTTAATAATTCCACCTCTAATGTTAAGTTACCTGTAATGCCATTTGAGCCAAAACCACAAGTCTTTGTCTCTCAGGAGGATAAGTGTATATCAAGGTAGTCTTTTCCCCTGTGTTAAAAATGAGCATCTTAATCTTAAACATTACATAAATATGAGAAATTTAATTAAAAACTTGAAGAAATGTGTTACTGTTAATTGAATTCTTGCTGCATTTACCTTTGCACACCAGTGTTAATAAAACTCCAGTTCATAGTGGATGACTTCGGGGAGTTGTGATAGCTATTTATTTCCTTACCTGAGATGCCAGGATAACCTTCTCAGCAAAAATAAAGAGCCTAATTAAGAAACTTCTAATGTGTAGCTACTGATCAAGTTTAGGCAAATTGCTAGCTTGTCTAAGTAAAACAAATAAGGGTTCAAAGGCCCCTAAACAAGGTCAAGTGAGAGAAGTGAGTGAGAAAGGGAGTACTTGGCTGCATTTTCATATTTTTTCACCTGTGGAGCGGATAATGCACTCGCTCCTCCCGGAGCCCGGTGCGCTCCGGCCGCCTGGCCGCCTGGCCCTCCCTCCCCCACCTGCCAAACCGCCCTCTCACTATCTGGGTATTAACAAGCTATAAATTGCCCAAGCGCTTAGAGACAATCAGGTCACCTCCGCTCTCACAAGGGAAAAGCTTCTTACTTCCCAGCAGAACGGCTGAGCAGGGAAGAGAGGAAGGAGGGGGGGAACCTAGGCTTTATTCATCACCGCGCTGGCAAGGGGTGGAGAGAGATGGGGGAGGGGGCGAGCACACACGCGCGCACACACACGCACACACGCGAGCACCAAGAACAAGCGCCCCCAGCGCTGCCGCACTTGACCCAGGTCTGCAAACTTATTGGTCGCCGCAGTGGAAACTCCCAGCGACTCTCCCCGCCCGGCAGCTGCTGCTGGGTGGAGTCGCGCTCTTCCGCCCCACCTAAGGCGCGCAGCATCCCCTGCAGCTCTGGTCCCCGCACCCTTCCCGCGAAGTCCCCAGGCACCCAGCAGGGCTCCGAGGAGCCTAAACCCGCTTCCAACCCCTCACCCCGGCGGAACAATATCCCCAGCCTCCCACAGCCCCGGGGGCCACCTGCGCGTGGCTCTGTTTGAGCACACTTGTTCAGAACCGTTTCCGAGCCTCACCCTGAACTGCTTTCCCAACTCTGCCGGGTCAAGTGGCCAATGACAAACTTCTGCCTCTCCCTTGCCCGCTCCCACCCTTTCCAAAATCCACAGCCCGGAAACCCACACACATCGAAACTCCTAGGGCGCTGTGGCAGTCTGGGCATGCTCAGTATCAGGGCAGGTTTTGATTGAAAGTACAAAAAAAAAAAAAAAAAAAGCTTTGTGTTGTGCCGTCTCCTTATCCTGTGCATAGATGGCTTGCTGAACAGGTCGTGGGCATCCCTGAGCCCACCCAGAGGGTTCTTGAGAAGCCCTTGAGAGTGTCTCCTTGGGATGCGTTCCCCTCTTAGTTGATCCCCTCCCCCAGCCCTCCTCAACCCCCCTTCTCGGGTCCCTCTCCGCTGTGGGCCTGGAGAGACCCTCGCAGAACTGGGATGGGCGCTGTTGGCTGAGCGGATCCACCTATTATGAGTGCTCTCGGATTGGCTCCCCGGCGCAGCGTACCCGGGTGGAACCAATCAGGCAGCCGAGGCTGGGAGGTGATGGGCGGCCGCCTCCTTACTGGAGGGATTCCGGGAGAAGCTGCAGTGTGGGGATGCTCTAGACCGAGTCCTGCCCCCAGTGTCTTTCCACCTCCTCCTGCAGCCACGGCAGCAGCGAGCAGCACCAGCAACTTAAGGCTGCACCCGGGGCAAGCCCCCAGGGTGGTGCTTAGCTAAGAGGGGGGCCCCAGTGCCCCGAAGGGGTGTGTGTAGGGTTGGGGCGCCAGCTGTAACCAGCTGGTGGTCCTGGAAAACCTCCCACACACCCACACCCACACACCCCTTTTTGTGTTGCAGGCTGCCCCTCTCAAGCGGAGGCAGCGAGAGTAGCGAGAGCTTCGCGCAGGTCCCCGCGGAGAGAGAGAGAGAGAGAGAGCTCAGAGAACCGAAAGCCGGCACCACCTCCTGGTCCTCCGTCCAGGTAAGGCAGGGGACTATGGCAGGGCCACCTCGGCGGTGCCTGAGCGCTGGAATCTGTTACAAAGATTTTCTTCTCGCTGCACTTGGATTTTGGTGGTGGGAGACCTAGGGAGGGATCCCGGGTGGCCTATTGTGAGAAACAGGAGGACCACATGTGCATCGCTTGGAGAAGCACTTTGCACAGCGCTGGTGATTCAGGCTGGAGTTGATACTGGGCATCCCCCATCTTCTCCTTCCGCATTCTTTCTCTTGTTATCTCTCCTCAGTCCTCCACCCCAGTTAATCTCTCTCTCTCTCTCTCTCTCTCTCTCTCTCTCTCTCTCTCTCTCTCTGTTAATCTCTCTGTCTCTGTTTCTCTCTCACTGTTTCTCTGTTTCTCCCTCTCCCTCTCTCTCTCTCTCTCTCTCTCTCTCCCTCTCTCCCTGTGTCTCTCTGCCTCTCTCCTTTCTCTCTCTTCCTCCTCCTCTAAGCTCGAACAGGGTTTCTTCCCTAGAGAGGATTGCTTTTCTTAGAGGGAAGAGGATAATGAAGATACCTTTGGCGAGGTGGGGGCGGGGGGTGCGCAAAATAAACTACAAGCCCTGTGAAAATTTGAGTACAGAAAACAAACTGAATAAAGAATTACACTGAAGAAGGGAGTAGACCAGCCAGCCAGCTCCGGCTGTCAGAGAGAGAAGCATCAAGTTTAACTTGATCTCCTCCTTGAAAGAGGCTCTGTCTCTCACTTGATCGGTTCAAATGGAACAAAAATAAACCGGCAGTACATCCCACTTTCAACTGCTAAATTGCTGTTGCTTTTAAGTGCCAACCATCTGACTTTTCCTGTTTCCATCCGTCCTGTCGGGCTGATATTGTGGTATTCCACACCAGTGTTAATATCTGAACTCTGAGAGTACTTGAGTTAAAAAACAAAAAGCAGAACAAAAACAGATTACGGCTTTGTTGAGGTTGTTTGACAGGGGTTTTATACGGGGGAAAGCAAAAATATGTGAAGTTTGAAAAGATTTATAAGTGACACCAGCATGATCAGGAGCCTTGGAATTCTACTTTGAGAGAGCTGATCTAGTTGGCTTTGTGTGTACGTTGCTATTTACTTCTCAGATATTAACCCTTTGGTGAAATAAAGCAATGTTATCTTTTGTACTAAAGCTGTATTTGTGTATGAATTTTCATTTTCCTTTACCTTTGTCCTATCTGCTTGAATTTTATTGCACAGATATCAAACTCATGCTTTGGCTCATTTTCCTTGAATATGAGAATACTTAAAGGATATGAGATGATGTTTATGCAATCTGAACATTCCCTTTAGAAGACACATGGAGAGGCTCAGATGGCCACAAATCTTGTACTGGGACGAAGTTTGCAAAGTAATGGTAGAAAGATACCCTCACATTTCAAAGATGTGGAAAGGGAAAGCATTTTCCTTCTCTTCTCCTCTTGTTAAGAGAGAAAAAAAAAAAAGATATCAAAACAGCACCATGGCCCTGGCTGCCTGCATAATAGGTCAAGTAAACAGAACTTATTGGACAGAGCCTTGACAACAGTTTCAACAGCCTTTAATTCCATCTTCTTTGATATTATGCATCAATGATAGCTAAGGGATTACTCTCAGATGGGTAAAGGTAAAGAAAACTGTCTAGTAAGATGTACTGGGAAAGCAGTCCAAGTGGGTCCTGCAAAAGCACAGAAAAAGAAGTAGGCAGATGTTAGCATCTAGGTAAATCCTTTCCTTTGATTTATCAGGGGAATATCAAGTCTTACTTTTTTTTCACAAGATGTCTACTTGAGAAAAGAAAAAAAGGTCTTTTTTCTTAACTCTGCCCCATCTTCCACACTAGTGGATACAGTGTAGAAAGTATTTCTTTCACCACATACATGATCTTTAACGTGTAAGTTTATACACAAACTTAGAGAGGAGCTGGTTTCATGGGTTATCCGTGTAATGTGCACTATTTTGGAAACCATTTTCCACTTGAGACAATTATCTTTCCTCTTAAACAGAATCATCTCACAACATGCACGCAGCAAGAGTACATGTTCGCATGCACACACACACACACACACACACACACACACACGGGCATGCACACACACACATGCATGATACATGCTTTCTTTCTAGGGCTTTGACATTTCAACGACTTTTTAAAAAATTTAGTGTCTCTGTTGAAAACTAACTCTAATTTTTAGAGGTGCCACCTTTTGGGCACAAGGACAAAAAGGGCAATCACTTAATTACTTCATGTGTATGTACAACTGAATTAACAAGTTTAGACATGAAAGGACATGCAAAATGAAGCCAGCAGCTTTCCATGTGAGTGAAATAAGGTTTTGTTTGCTTGTTTCTCTACTATCTTAGGAAAATGTGAAAGTTTGGCACGGTTTGTGATATTTATTTTCATCGGTCTTTGCAAATGTTAATTGTAACAATAACATATATAAAAGATGCATTTTTGTACATAGTTTTTCACATACTTCTGAAAAATTAAGCTTTTATATTTTGAAAGTCAGAACTAATTCCAGTACCCAGTGAATACATTGAGGCGAGATGCATTGCAGGAACGATACATTTTAGGACATTTTACCATGCCTTCCCACAATATTGTTTAGTATCATGATTGCATATAATGTTCATGTTTTTCTCCCTTTAAAATGATGTTCTAGTAAATCTTACTAATGTTTCAAGGTAAACCTGATAATTATATTTTATGACATTTTTTATCAGGACAACTATATAGGGGAAATCCTAAAATACTTATTTCACAAAAATACAACATGACAAAGATTTATTACTGAGTAGTTTTGAAACTCATTTCCTAATGGAGGATACTAGTTTATCAGGACAAATCATCAGATAGTTCTAATCAATAAATAGGAAAATGCAAAACATGATATTTATAAGATTTGCATATTATATCTGATGCTAACTACCAATAGAACTAGAAGATACTAATTTGCCTAAACTATATTTGTAAAATGACTTTTAATATTAACAAATAAAATGCAGAATGTACCAGAAACCTGAACGTTAACTTGAACTTATAACTAGCCTTCCATGTATTATAAACCTTGAACTTATAATACATGGAAGTAATATTAATTCATCACTTTTGAGATGAGCATATTAAATCAATTTAAAATAAATTTCCAAAATAGTCAATTAATCTTTAAAAATTCATACTTGGCACAGATAATTATATGAACCTGAAATACTTATAGCTGTTGTGATTTGTAGTTTATGCAAAAGCCAGCAAGAGTTATCATTAGTCTCAGACAAGAAAATAATATTTATTTTCATAGTGATAATAGTTATATGACTTTGAGGGTAGAAAAAAACAAAGATAAAACAATTTGATTAGTTAACATAGAATTTTGGTACAATATTTTAAAAAACAGACTAAAATTGGACTTTCTGCCATGATATAATGTAATTATGAATGTTGCAAGCATTTTGCTAAATGATAATGGTTTTTAATTAAATATTTGATCTACTTGTGATTTTTTAGAAAGTTTTAAGTGATTTATTTGTTTTTAATGTATCTGAACTAAAAGTTTAATGTATAAAAGATACTTTCTGGCTGGATTTATTTTCATAAAAATTGGTCAAAGCTATTTAAATAGGGATGAAATATATATGGCAGTCTAAAAATTAATCTCAATTTGGATTTAAGGGTAGATGTACATATATAAGTATACTCTTGTATTTGTTTTTATATTCTAAAATTATATGATATTTTTAAATAGGATAAGATACTAACAGGATACACTCTGCTGAAACTAGGGGGGTATTCCTGAGAAAAGGACCAATTAAGGAATGATAGTAATGCTTGGTGATGCTTTCAATGGCTCTTTGGTTAAAGGGTTAATAATACCCAGAGGCTAATAATAACTCTTAATGGGGGCCTAGACTACTGCCTATACAGACACCTGTGGTTTTGAGAAGTGATTTTTACATGTATCATTTTTTGAAACTATCCATACAAAACGATGCATCTCCAGGTACAGCTAACAAAAAAAAAGCACAATCATAATTTTATATGATTTGGATACAATGAGTGATAAAGTTCTATCTTTCCAATGCTTTTAATTGATAGTTCTTGCAATATTTGCATTAAGGTACACTTAATTTTTATATAAATGGACAACATGATTAGTACTTTTTTTGAGTTAGAGGGACATAGATTGATATCTTTACATTGGGTCCTTCCAGGAATGATCAATATTTTCAGTAATGTTGAAAGTTGATTCAGACCTCTTCAGTGTGTCCATTTTCTTAACAGGAAATTTAATCCTTCCAAGTCAAACAACGATTTTTTCTTCCAATTTTCATGGGTTCCTGAGGGCCTATTTTTATATTGACTATATGATAAATTATCATACAAGAATATGCTAGTGTCTTTGTACTTGTATCTATATTATATTACAAGTTTATGTTATCTATTATAAACAGGATTGTCATCTTTTTGTAGCTATATGAATAAAACTGTAGCCTTTGCTTTATTAAAAATAAAAACAATTTAAAATAATGAAATCATTGTTGTTATAGAAATAGCAAGCAGCAGAAATATTATTTTTCTAGTTTTCAACAGCCTTTAAAGTCCTGTTGTAAGGAAACCTCTTTCTCCAATGATATCAAATTTTCATTAATTTAAAAACAATATCTAAGAGAATTCTGAAAGAAATTACAACCCTTTGTGGAGATAAAACAGCACAATTACGGTAGTATTAGACATGAACTTTCTGTCACGTCTTTGAGAAGTACAAAGCAAATATTTTAATTTTTATTTCTCAAATAATTCTATTTGTCTCATTTCCATAATTTTTTGTGTATCTCAGCCTCCTGTTCTAATTCTTTAGGAGTATTTTAATTTCACTTGGAGTTAGTTTTCTCTTTGCAGACATACTCAGTGCTTGAAAGCAAGGTTGCTGCACTGATTTCCGTAATTCTCTAAAATGTATATGAGATAAGGTTAAAGTACGTCTTTCTGACTGTTGTTATTA